TCCGAAGATGCCTCAGGCACCGTTGCCAGAGTTCTCTAGCTCAGTGAAGCTCAAGTACGTGAAACTTGGCTATCAATACTTGGTCAATCACTTCTTGAGTCTTCTTTTGATCCCGATCATGGCAGTCATCGCCGTTGAGCTTCTTCGGATGGGTCCAGAAGAGATCCTTAATGTTTGGAACTCGCTTCATTTTGACCTAGTTCAGGTTCTATGTTCTTCCTTCTTTGTCATCTTCATCTCCACCGTTTACTTCATGTCCAAGCCACGTACGGTCTACCTCGTTGACTACTCTTGTTACAAACCGCCAGTCACGTGCCGTGTCCCCTTCGCAACTTTCATGGAACACTCTCGTTTGATCCTCAAAGACAAACCTAAGAGTGTTGAGTTTCAAATGAGAATCCTTGAACGTTCTGGCCTTGGTGAAGAGACTTGTCTACCTCCGGCTATTCATTACATTCCTCCCACACCAACCATGGAAGAGGCTAGAAGCGAGGCTCAGATGGTTATCTTCACGGCTATGGATGATCTCTTCAAGAAAACCGGTTTAATGCCTAAAGATATCGACATTCTCATCGTCAATTGCTCTCTCTTCTCTCCCACGCCATCTCTATCCGCTATGGTTATCAACAAATATAAGCTTAGGAGTAACATCAAAAGCTTTAACCTCTCGGGGATGGGATGCAGCGCGGGCTTGATCTCAGTTGATCTGGCTCGTGACCTGCTTCAAGTTCATCCCAACTCGAATGCGATCATTGTCAGCACTGAGATCATAACTCCTAATTACTACAAGGGAAATGAGAGAGCCATGTTGCTTCCCAATTGCCTCTTCCGCATGGGCTCTGCGGCTATTCTCATGTCGAACCGCCGGTCTGACCGGTGGCGAGCCAAGTACAAGCTTTGCCATCTTGTCCGGACGCACCGTGGTGCTGATGACAAATCTTACTACTGTGTCTATGAGCAAGAAGATAAAGAAGGAAACATTGGGATCAACTTGTCCAAAGATCTCATGGCCATCGCCGGTGAAGCCCTTAAAGCTAACATCACCACAATAGGTAATAATAATATACATATATCATCTGTTTCGCATTAATACCCTAACAATAATGTCAAGTTGTCAACGGTGGAATATAAATTTAAGAGGGTAGGCATTTAATTAAATTTGGTTTGGTTCGGTTAGAATTTTATTGATTCTGTTCAGGTTTTGATTCAGTTAGGTTTTACATAAAATATATATAATTACGTCCACTATATATATATATATATATATATATTAGTATAGTTAAATGTACTGTTTGGTATATGTCACTCAATGAAAATTTAGCTTATAAAATTCAGTTGCATGAAAGTAAAGTTTGATTGGGTTTCGGTTTGAGAAATATGGTTGGATTTTATAGAAGAAATTGATTGAACAAACAAGTTATTGTTCCGTTTGTTTTATTTTGGTTTGAATCCTTACCATTTTCGAAAACATTTTGGGGGGTTCCTTAGCCTAGAAATTATGGTTTGGTTCGATTTTAGGTTTGGATTCATTTAGGTTTTTCAAAAAAGAAAATTACGCTCAATATTTTTTAATATGACTAAATGTATTTTTTGGTAGGTTACGTAGGTTTATTAAATGGCTTCTTTTTATGGAAACTTTAGCCTATTTCATTCGGTTGCATTAAATTATGTTTGTTCAATACAAAAATTATGGTTTAAAAGAAAATTTATTTGGTTTGGTTTTGAATGAACAGGTCCTTTGGTCCTACCGGCATCAGAACAGCTACTCTTCCTCACGTCCCTAATTGGACGTAAAATCTTTAACCCAAAATGGAAACCATACATTCCCGATTTCAAGCTAGCCTTCGAACACTTCTGCATCCACGCAGGAGGCAGAGCCGTCATCGACGAGCTACAGAAGAATTTGCAGCTATCAGGAGAACACGTGGAAGCCTCAAGAATGACACTGCATCGTTTTGGTAACACATCATCCTCGTCGTTATGGTACGAGCTTAGCTACATCGAGGCTAAAGGGAGAATGAGGAGAGGAGATCGTGTTTGGCAAATCGCGTTTGGGAGTGGTTTCAAGTGTAACTCTGCTGTGTGGAAATGTAACCGTACGATTAAGACAACAAATGATGGACCATGGTCCGATTGTATCGACCGATACCCTGTCTTTATCCCTGAAGTTGTCAAACTCTAAACCAAAGTCAGATCTTCAAGTATGGCTTTGGTTATGGTTTGATTTTGTGTACGGTTTAGGTTGATTTACTTCTTTGGATTCGGTTTTTTATAAGGATTGGGAAATGGGAGGTTAGAGAGAAGATAAAGCAAAGCATAAATGTTTGTATTTATTTGCTCTGCATATATACTTACAATCTCTCCTTTTCATTTTGGAATATTTTTTAGTTTCTCGTGCTGTAATTAATAACTTGTGGTGTATCAAATAAGAATATTGTTCTTATTTATTTATCTATAAATCGGAAAAATATAAGCTTTCTTGTTGTTATCGCTGTCGTCCATAATATTGCTTAGTGCTTTTACCCCATCTGATTTGGTTTTAATGTTATAGAGATAAGGAATCAGAACAAAGAAAAAAAAAAGATAAGGAATCAGAACAAAAAAAAATTAATACGTAAATTATTGTATGCAGAGAAATTTTGCTGAGACATTTGGAGTCATGTTTTGACCATTTCTTTAAGCATTTATTTTTGTCTTTTTGACACCTTTGTTTTTCTCGTCACGATCTTCATTTCTTAAAGATGTTACTGAAATATATAACATACTGTATTTGGGGATTTTGTGTTTTACTATGGTCGTTTGTACAAATGGAAGAAATAAAAGGCAACACGGTTATATAGATTAACAAATTTTGTCACTATGTAAATAATGTGAGGTGAAATGTGATATTACTAACCACATAGAAGTTTTAAGAACATCACCAAGAAATATTTCATTACTTCAAATTTGAAGTTTAAAGTATTTCAAAAACAGTTTCAAAACTTCAGGTTCGGCAAGTCACTATATTTTCTCAAAGAATATAAACTCCTAGTTACTAACCAGTCTACGTTGATCTAATTGGTAAAGGAATGTTTATGTGGGCTTCCGCCACATGGATTCTATTTGGATAAGCTCATAAGACACTAAGACTTTTACATAGTCTTTTCGGACCCAGAACTCTTCGATGAAAGTGGGATCATGCGTTGATCCTCAATATCGGAGTCTCCGGTCCTTTGTAGAGAATGATGCAGAGACCCCACTGACCGGAGTGAGCGGTCATCGGGATCCAGACCAGCTGAATTATAAAAAAATGGAAAAAAGGAAAGAAACCAAAATTAGTTACTATATACTCGCTTATGGTTAAACATTAAATTTGTTTTCAATGACAGGTATGAGATATATATTGGGCCAATGGGCCTAAATCAGTTAAAGGAGCCTAAAATTCCAGCTTATTATATAGTTAGCTTAAAACGTCCGGAATAAAACATTTGACCTTCGAACCAACACAACAACAAATGGCTCTACCGATTTGACAAAAGAAAAAAAGAAAAAAAAAATCAACCGACTTCTCCCCACTTACTGCGTTACTAATTAGTAATCAGCGAGGTCGCATGATGATGGATCGGTCACTTTCATAAATTTATAGTTAGTGTGCTACTGAGATCGGATTCAGAAATGGTGTCAGGTTAGAGTTCAGTGTTTGATTCATGATAAAGTCAAATTTGTATCTAGAATCGGGTAGTGTCGACTTTGTCTTAAAGATGAGCCTAATCACAATTGTTAGTGAGTAAAAAAAGGTAGTAAAGGTTTAAGTAAAAGTCCTAGATCGCTAGACCTTAAGATAAAAGAGTAATCACATATATTTACTATAATGTAACATGTATGATGCCAACTCAATGTTTTAATTAACCCATTACCCATATATATTTTGTCAAACTATTAAACTATATTTTCTATATGAAGAATATATATAGATACATGATTTTCCTACACATATAGGGTAAAAGTTTAAGGTTTAACGGCCACTTATCTAATTTAATCAATAATCAGACACAGAAGTTATAGTTCGTACAAATGCTACAAATCATAGAAACATCATTTTCCAAGTAAACGAATAAAGCCAGGAGCTGTCCATGTTATCCATCGATCCTCTTATCTTCTCAACAAAAGGTAGATGCCTTTGTTTTTGAAGTTTTCTGCATATTGATGTGGTCCAGCACAAACCATTGTTGATAGTTATCCATTTTATATATTTTTCTTTTAACCCAATGTTTTCAGGAATACTTAATTTTGCACGTACTTTTTCATTTTTTCCCCATCTTTTCCAGTTTTCTGCTACAATTAGGAATATCTACCTATTATTTTTGTGCTTCAATACACCACAACCTACAAAGACCGAAACTATCGATGCAACACATATAAAAAAAGTGCGTCAAATTGGACTTACACACACACACAAACTATAAATACTTTTTCCTTGTCTCTAAAACTTTTTTTTTTCTCTAAAACTTCAAGATGAAGATCTTGAACATAAAGGGGATGTAAATATATCAACACCATAAGTAAATGTCATACTGGACTTATATCGACACAATCAATCAAAACCTCGCTTTCTACAAAACACGAGAATAAGTCCATACTATCCGACTTTTTCCATGGAAAATAACGCATTTATAACCAATATTTTTATCAACTAACAAAATCCAAAAAAAGGACTGGGCAACGAAAACGACAGGTGGACCATAAAGATATCCATCTGATTAAGAAGCTGGCCAATCGAAACACTAAGAATAGGATCATCTTGAAGAACTCAACCAATCAGAAACGAGATAAGGCCTCTACATGGCCCTCATGGGTAGCATAAACAACCAAAAAGTGCATCAAAGGTTTATTTTAATCACACTCCCAATTTACAAAATGATAATAAAAAAAAAAAAGTTCACATCGTGTGGGACATGTAGAAGACTACAACACCTCTAAACTTTACCCTCACTGCCTCATAAAGACAGAAATGTAGTCTCCCTTTTTTATAGCCACTTCTCAAAAACTGAAACCTTTGAAGAGAGAACTCAAACTTCGATAAACATTCTTTTTGCAACTTAGTCGGCAACTAGTTTTTACACAAAGTAAAGGTTTCTTCTCGTTCATGGTGATAAGTATAAAAATTATAACATGATGAAAAGTTTGGCTAACGCGGTTGGAGGAAAGACGGCGAGGGCATGTGACAGCTGCGTGAAGAGGCGGGCACGTTGGTATTGTGCAGCTGACGATGCTTTCCTTTGCCATTCTTGCGACGGTTCTGTCCACTCAGCGAATCCTCTTGCCCGTAGACACGAGAGGGTTCGCTTGAAATCGTCTAGTTCGGGGAAGCATCGCCACGCCTCCTCCTCACCACCTCACCGAGCCACATGGCATCAGGGCTTTACACGTAAAGCTAGGACTCCACGTGGAGGCAAGAAGAGCCACACGATGGTTTTCCAAGATCTTGTGCCGGTGATGAGCTCAGAGGATCAGAGCTACGAGGTGGAAGATCAGCTCATCTTTCAGGTCCCTGTGTTGAACCCTATGGTTGAGGAGCAATGCGTTAACGAATCCATGGAGACAAAGATCGAGTTTCCGATGATGCCCTTATGTTTTAAGAGCAGCGATGAAGAAGATGAAAACGCTGAGAGTTGTCTGAATGGTTTGTTCCCGACCGACATGGAACTCGCTCAATTCACTGCTGACGTGGAGACTCTCCTCGGTGGAGGGATAGAGCGAGAGATCCATGACATGGAAGAGCTAGGGTTAGGTGAGATGCTAAAGATTGAGCATGAGGAGGAAGAAGTTGCGACAAGAGAAGTGTGTGATCTAAATGACGCTGATGATGAGACTTCTCCATTTGAAATAAGCTTTGATTATGAGTACTCAAACAAGACGGCATCAGAAGAAGAAGGAGAAGAAGAAAAAGAAGACGTAATTAAGAATATGACGGGCGTGAAAGTGAATGAAATGAGTTGTACGGTTAAGGAAGAGAAGAAGGAGAATGTTCCTATGCTTAGATTGGACTACCAAGCGGTGATTTCCACTTGGGGTGGCCAAGGAACCCCATGGACAGCCCTCGAGCCACCTGAAATAGACCTCGACATGCTCTGTTGCTCACCCAATTCCACGGTATGTCCTCTATCCCTTGCATTTATCTATCCACATTATTCAATATGTTCTTTATACAATCAGATTGTTTATACATGGTCCAAACTCATATTAATCCCAAAACATATAAAAAGCCAGATTTTATTGCAATTTAAGGACTGGTTTAAAACTAGTAGAATAAATATTTTACCACTAGGCCACCACCTTTGTTATTTTTACTATAATTATTGCAAGCATTGTCACTAATTAACAAAATTACTTGTTTGTGTAATGAATATTTAGGCGCATCAACATCACAACCACTTTCACGGCCTAGGATTACGCATGGGAGATGCTGGGGATGGAGGAAGAGAAGCTAGGGTTTCAAGATACCGAGAGAAAAGAAGGACAAGGTTGTTCTCTAAGAAGATAAGGTACGAGGTGCGTAAGCTGAATGCGGAGAAAAGGCCACGAATGAAAGGAAGGTTCGTGAAGAGATCTTCAATTGCTGCTGCTCACTAAGAAGATCTTAATTAACTATATATATCATTTACTCTGCTTTCTTGTTACTTCTTTAATTTGTTGCTAAATTTTGGTGATTGTTAGCTTTCTTTTTCTGCAATGTTAGAAATTTTTGCACGTTTTGTAAGCTACGTATGTAAATATAGATATATATCACCAAAAGGTTTGACAATCTTGTAAAGACTTATTTATAAAGTTGATACAACGTGAAATTTTGACTGCTAGTAACCAAAGTAAAAAACATAAGGATTGTTGTCACAAATACGTTTCTAAATCTTAGAAAATTTGGGAATATGTTGGTTTGTAATTTATCAACACTATTCTGTGTCAGTATCCGTTCTACAAACTAATCGGATATTCCGATATCCTCTAAAGTCCGGATATTTAACCGGATATCTGATCTGGTCAATAAAATTTTTTACATAATTAAGAAAATTCAGAAACATAGAAAAAATCAAAATTCAACCCAAAAATAAAAATGTTGCATGAACAAAATTTATTCAAATTTTTTTACAAATAGAAAATATAGAAAAAAATTAGACACGTTCTGATCAATTCATTTGAATATATTAATAAAAAGTTGAAAAATATTTTGTAATTTATAAATAATTAAACATGAAAATTTTAATTTTTGTAAGATTTTGTAGAACGACCACAAAAACTAAAATCATTAAACAGTGCATTTTAAATTTATATATTCAAAATTATATATATTTTTGATTAGTCAGAACAAAAATTTAGTTTAATTCAAAACGAATTAAATAAACAGATTAGCTTGTTTTGATATTTTTATCTATAATCAGTAGTTAAAGCATCTATCTCTCGGATCTGGAGAGAACGAAATGCGAGACGTCATGGTGATGTCCCAAACTCATTATAGCGGCTTATCTCTGATCTGGACAAGGTGGTACGCAACCGTCTCAGCTCTTTATGCAGGGCGGGGGACTACAGCTACGCTGATGGTCTCGAAATATGGTTCGGAACCAGAAGTTAATTCGGGCGAAAAATCATCTTTACTCAAAATTATTATAAAAACAGTTCGTGCTCTGTTTTTGTTTCTTTTCATTTTCAACTAAAGACTATGTAAAGAAATCTGTTTTTTTTTAATATAATTTAACATAATTTTTAAAAAAAAAAAATCAGTAGTTAAACATATTAAAAAATTAAAATAAAAGTAAAGATAAAACTAATTTTAAATACTAGTAGTCATAGTAATTGAGATGGCCCAACTAGCCGATACCGAAAGTTCCCAAAAGTTTGTCCATTTCCCAATATCATGGCATGTATTGCTAAATTCTATTTCCTTACAATCTCATGTCAAAATCGTTTGTACTAATATTTCATTTATAATCTTCATATGCAGTTGGGTAATAATTTCAATATAATTATGCGCTCCTTCTGATGATCTTAATGGTGTTCATCATCAAGATAAAACTATAAAGTAAAGATAATCTAATATGTCCTGTATGTATATAACGCGTTGATGAGACTTATAATCTAATCAAATATACCACATTGACTCACATTAATACCAAATTTTATATACATAAGCCAGTAGACCAAGTTTGATTTGGATTTCATTTTTTTCCTCCTTTTAAACAGAAAGTAAAATTATTAATTTAAAAGATATTTATGATAGTAATGCTATCTAATTTTTGTCCTTGTCATAGCTTCTATCCAAGCCTGAGCTCTAAGCCAACCTCGTTGGTATCGACTTGATCATCAAACCCAAGATTCGAACTTTGATTTAATGGAGCTTCCCTTGGACTCTCCACATTCTCCAACGCCAACTGACCATAGCCATGCGTCGCACCAGAACTCCCGAGTTGCCACGCGTCATGACTGCATTCGCCTGTTTGATAACTCACTGTCTCAGCGATCCGTTTGAACCGGCCAGTTTGTGTCTTGGTCTTGTTACCATTAACACGTGGGGCCAGGGACAGGCTCTCCGAACTGTCGCCGCCGGTTGTTGGATCTTTCACCACGTGGCGTATGTCGTAAGTTCTGTGAGGAGGAATGATCTGGTGCGACGCGGATGCACTGGGAAGTGGCGTGTGAGTGATGGGCAAGCCGTTGAGCACAGATTCAACGGCGGCTTGGCACTGAGCCCAGTTTCCGGACCACATCAAACCCACCGAACCGTCCACAGGGTTCACGATCCGACCACACGCCTCATATAGCAATGACCTAAATATTGCTAACAAATTTTACAAAACACAATGAAGGTTATGGTATTAAACAGGAAATTGAAAAAACAAAATGTCCCTAGCTACTTTAAATTGATTGTGCATGTAAAAGGTGTGTGACGGAATCTAAAATAGTTATTCAGATCCTTGTTTGATATACTGTTACCAAATCTCTCGTAGATCTCTCATAATCCCAAATACATTGTTAGATAATTCCATGGACCGTTATGTTTAACAAAATGATAACTCAATGGAATATAATTGCTTTCAGTGTGTACCGGGACGAAGGTGGTCAGGACCGGATTCGATGAGGTTAAGGAGACCGGCTCGGCCGTAGAACTTGGCGAGGAAGAGTGTGGCATTGGCTTGAGAGTCTGCGGATTTGATCCATTGAAGGCATGGTCTTATGGTGCAATCTTGGTTGCAGCCTTTGCGTAGGACTCTACACCCATTGCAGCTGATTCTCATTATATGTTTATAAGTGGCATATATACGTATGATGTGTGGTTTGTGAATTGTGAGTTTTCTTGGAAGTGAACTCAATGAAGGTTTGTGGACAATTTGTATTTATAAGGAAGAAGTTACTACTACAGCTGAGTCATAAAGTGAGTTGGTATTTTTCATCTTTTGCGTTTCTTGGAGAAAGTGGTGGAAAAAAACTGGTTGCAATCCATGCTTTATGATTTTGGTTTTTTTTTTTAATAAAAAAAACATTATTACTTTCTCAAAGAATAAAGGATCCGTATTTTTTGTCTGTGAAAATTTTCATTATAATTTTAAAATGTTTAGTGTTTGGAAAAAAGAAGAAGAAAAGACCAAGAAATGAGGGGAAGGAGGTTGTGTGTTTCAGTGAAGTTGGCATTTTGTTTTGGCAAAAGTTGGGGAGTTCCTTCTTCGGGAATGCCAATTTCCTCTCTCATTCTTTGGGATTTGCCCTCCATGCACTCCAATATTACGATTTTTACCACTCATATTTATCCATATTAGTAAATTACGTCTCACACTCAATCAAAACCCACTTCGTTTTAATCATCGTACGTCAATCCTCATCATATCATCGTTTGGGTTGCGTCTGACGATTTTTGTACCACTCATCTTTATCTCTCTCTATATACTCGTAGAATATTACATGGAAAATTTAAAATTCAAATTAAAAGGAAAAAGCAAAACAAAATAAAAGAATTATGTAAGGGGTACTTTTGTAATTGAGTGTTAGCAGAGGTCCAGAGGGGTAGAGATACGAGGAAATATTGGATATGAAAAGTGGGAGACATGCACGAGAACCACCCAGAGATGATGATACCGACAAAATAAACAAAACCAAAAGAAGTTTTGAAATTTTCGTGAAACAAAAAAAAACTAAAATAAAATCAAAAGGCAAAAAGGTGGCACGTGAGTTACACGCGAGACAAACTCTACTGTCAATATTCAGCACTGAAATGACTATGATGTCCTTTTTTTTTACCAAAGCTTCTTTCTACTCCAGATTTTAGGGAGGCTATACGGATTGGACCGTAACTTTACGTGGAAAATACAGTATTTATTATTTCTACGTGGCATATTTCTTCTTTTAAATTGAATGAATGATATTAATATATGTTGGTTTACTTCATTAATGCACAATTAAAAAAGAAAAAGTAATAATAAAAATAATGAAATCAATTATAAAAATAATTTAATTAACAAAAATAAACAGTAAATAATTGAGCATTTATAGCTTTCTTAATCTGTATGTAAATATTCAGAAAATCAACTATAATGAAACAGAAGGAATATATAATAGATCGTACAAAATTTAATTCATCTGCAAAAATGGACGTGGTAGAAAAATGGGAAACAAGTTGATATTGATTTACGTGTATGTATTTTGTTTAAACAGTATAAAAAATTTGAGTATGATTAAATTATTATTTTATATTGCTATCACATCATTTTTGTAAACCAGTTTGTAAACACTAGATTTGAAAAGCGTTAATATTCAAATTTTATTGTTACAAAAATAATAATTACAAACGTTACAAGTTTGCTTTTTTAAAAGAAAACAAACAACAGGAGGCGCGTGTAAAAAATCTGCCCACTGGTTTTATTACAAGAAAAAGTGTTTTTCATGTTTAATTGGCTATTGAAGTATGATTTTAGGATTACTTTTCAGAAAACGTTTTTTTACAACTTAAGCCTTACCGAAAAAAAGATACGTCATTAATAAGACAATTAAATGTCTAATTTAGAAAATGTTTTTGTTATATAGTCCACGTACGAATCCACTCTTACCGTCTTACGAGGTGTTGGAGATTGATAAAGCCGACGTGTGATTGATTATCTACTCAGTTCTTTGTTCTTTACACACCCATAGCGCATATCTGTGTAATATATTGACGTTAGAAAAATAGGATTATCATTACCAATTCATGAGCTTGGTTAATTGTTCTTGGAAACAAAAAGTTCAATGCTTTAAAAAATAAAAAGAAATAACGTTCGAGTTTTTTTTTTTTGCTAATTATCATGTTCGAATTGCATTTTTATAGCTAAATTCAGAGCGGTCTCAAATTATTTTTAGACCCTTTTCAAAATTTTTATTCAAAATATATTTAGTATGATATAAATATTTTTTTAATTAACTGAAATTTCTTAAAGAAAATTTTTGTTTTTAATCAGGATTCTGTTCGAATGCTCCACTCGCACATGGTGGTAGACGATCAGGGCCGGCCCTGACCTAAAACCCATGAAACAAGGGCTTTAGGCGCCAAATTATATATCAAATTTAGGGCATCATTTTTAACAAATTTTCCTTTAGTGTAGTAGTTTGAACAATATTTCTGCCTCTCTAATGTCTGGAGTTCAAACTCCTATGTCTGCATTTTTTTTTTCAGTTTTTTAGTTTGCTTTCTTTTTTTATTTGATGGGCATTATTTTGAAATTGCGCTTTAGGCGTACGGAGAGTTTGGCCAGGCCCTGTAGACGACTCTGGCTAGATTCCTCTATAAAATTATTCTCCCATTATTCTTCATTCTTGTTTGCTAGTAATCTCGGTGTGTGCGGGCTCATGTACAAGTCACCGCTATGAACGTGTGGTCAATAATATGGTGTCATTTTATTAGACTAGAACTTCTGACTTTCTTTTTCTTGTGTTCTTTACACATTTTTGTGTTGTTGCTTTGCTCCAGTTATGTCTCAATATTTTTTAGATTTTCATATATTAATGATAGTTTTGAATACTTATTTTTTTTTCAAAAGTCTAAAAAAGTTTGTGAACCTAGTTCGACCCGGTTGGACTACGTTGAATCGTGATCCAAAACGCTCTTTGGTTTGTACTTTAAAAATATTACTCTGGAGTTCTCCTAACTGTTGGGCTTCCCACTAGATCAAATTATGGGGTAACTGGGCCGAAAAAGCTGAGTTTTGAATTATAAAGACTGTCTCAACCCTTTGTATGAAAGTGGAGTGAAAACCGTGTAATTAAGCATCTTGTAGAGGTGACAACGCCACTTAGCACTAACGTATCCGCACACTTGTTTTGATGTAACCCTTAATGAGTATGGCCGTATGGGATGGTAACCCTTTCATGGTATGAACCCTTTTGTGGGTTTATTTTTACTTCCCACGGAGACGTTGCTTCAACTCTGTAAAATGATTAACCTCTGTGTACTGTTTTATTTTAATTTAATATACTAATAGACAAAAATAAAACTAAAAACATTGAACACCTAAAATCAAGGTTACTGTCTTACAAGTGGATCTTATATGCCTTTATGAACAAGTGGCCCTGACACTTTGAATCTTCGATTGAGCCGTTATCAATTTGCAACTTGTTTTCTGTTACAATTGGGAACAAGTAGCCAATTAAAATATAAAAGTTCATGTGTGACAACAATGAACTTTGGAGAGGTCGGCATTATAATCCGAAGCGTTAGACAGGTCCACATATAGTTATTGCATATTTCTTAGAATAAAACAGAACAGTTTGAAACTTCTCTTAAATGAACGAAATCATTCGATTCATGACAATCCAACGACACTATGAGAGTAAGAAAGAAGTCACCGATTCTGATATATGTTAAATTATCAATTTAATTATCTTTCTCGATAACTTCAAAATTGAAAGCCATCAAATAAAAGTTTTTTTTTTCTTTCAAAATTGAACAATGTATGCTTTTGTTTCACATCAACGCACAAAGTTAGAGTGTAGAACAAATGAAGGGCTACTAGAGGCTACCTTTGATGAGATGAGATAAGATAAACGGGTTTGTGCGACGTGGCAGAATCTATGGTCCAACAATATTACGATAAGACTCGACGACGATCCAAGAACTATGCTCAAAGCTCTTCATATTTTTATAGAAAAATTATGATCATGATTCATGTGGCCGTGGACGCCTAATCTATCTCAAATTCAATCAAAACCATTGGAATTGTAGAACAAAAATATGAAGAAAAAGAAAAACATAAAAAAAAACATCAACAATTTAATTTTAAAGAAAACAAATTTCTACAAGATCAAAAACTTTTTGCTATATAAAGACGATTTGGGAATAGATGCAATTCGCTCTCAAACTGATTGCACACAGAAAAAAAGTGGTCTAAAGAGGAAGAGAGATCATGGCTTCATCGGTTGTATCATCGGCAGCGACATTTTCCGGCGTGAACCGGATTCCAACTCAGGCCAACATGGTGGCTCCATTCACCGGTCTTAAGTCATCCGCCGCCTTCCCTGTGACCCACAAAACTAACTTCGATATCACTTCATTGGCTAGTAACGGTAGCAAAGTCCATTGCATGCAGGTCCATTCTAGATTCCTAATTATAAACTTATACTCCCACTAGTATGTCGGTACTAGAAGCATTTCCATATTAATTTGTAACCATATACTTTGAGAGGTAACCAACTAAGTGAAGTGAATCAATCCAATCACGTGATGCTCATAATTAAAAGGTGTCCCGGAGAGGCAAATAAAAAAGGTCTACAAATTTGTTTTGTTATACAATAAGCCCCCAAAATTGTTATTCTGTTTTTTGTTTGTTCTCAACAGGAAAGTGAAACTAATATAGGTTATACTTAAGTATGGCACTCATAAAGAAGAAGACAAAGAAAACCTTGTCTTTTATTGAAATTACATGGCTTAAAAAAGAACTTATATATTAAGATAATTTAGTAAAACTTGGTCTGGTATAATCGCAATAGACTCTACAACTTATAAAAGTCAATAATATGAATTATGCAAGTTTGAATCTGAATAGTGACACAATTAACAGTGACAATTCTACTATATTTCTTTCTCAATTTTAGATCGATGACTTTATCTCAATAACCATTTTAGACTGAATTTTAGTCCATAATAGTATAAGTGAGCCAAAGATGTGTAGGTGTGGCCACCGGTTGGAAAGAAAAAGTTCGAGACTCTCTCTTACCTCCCCGACCTGAGCGAGGTGTCTTTGGCTAAGGAGGTCGACTACCTTCTCCGAAATAAATGGATTCCTTGCGTTGAGTTCGAGTTGGAGGTAACATTTAATCAGTTCTTGATAAAGAATCTTTCTAAATCAACTTTTCTTGGACAGTTCTTAATCAGTTCTTGATAAAGAATCTTTCTTTTCAACTAAAACGACCACGTACGTCTTGGACAGCACGGGTTCGTGTACCGTGAGCACAATAAGTCACCGGGTTACTACGACGGACGTTACTGGACAATGTGGAAGCTTCCATTGTTTGGATGCACAGATTCGTCTCAAGTGTTGAAGGAAGTTGAGGAGTGCAAGAAAGAGTACCCCAATGCCTTTATTCGTATCATCGGATTCGACAACTCGCGTCAAGTCCAGTGCATCAGTTTCATTGCCTACAAGCCTCCCCACTTCTAAATTCACTCTCCTTGATTGAAACCAAACATTTTCTTTTATTCCATTCTTTTTTCTTGTTTGATTTCTCCATTTATATGTCTGTTACTTCTTGTTTTGACCGGAAGAAAACCGATAATTCTACACCGGTTCGAACTTCTAGCAAATCGAGTATTAGACCGAACCAAAGCAAGTTAAAAATTGGTTAAAGTTAGGTATGCCGACTCTTTATCAAACCATACCAAACGGAATCCAAAATTCAGTTACTCATATAGGAATTGGATTACAAGTAATAAACCGGAACCAAATAACATTCAGTTGACTTCGACCCGAATATTATCAAACAACTTAATGTGGGCCTATTTAATTTATTATCCAAGGCATACTACTTTGGAATTTGGCAAGATGCACTCTTAAAACAAGCCTAGGCACGGCATGTGTATGTGTATATGTGCAATTAACAATTTGTCAGTACACTATTAATAAGGTATGAGCATAGTTACGCACTAATTCTTAAATCTAGATAATTAATTTCAAATGAACCCCCATTGAAGGATAATATTTAAAGGAAACTTATCTAGCATGAACTATAATTCCAATTTTTTTTTTTTTTTGAACTGAAACTAAAATTCCAATTATTATGTTTTTTTTTCTTCGGAAAAGAAAAGAACTATGAGGAATGAGTTAGATTCTTGAGGTTCCAAATATCATCGTCCCAAAGAACATCACTGAACAACAAATTGTAGTTTCTTCCAACGAACTCAACGTCCCAAAAAGGCAACCACACGGTGCTCCACGTCATCTCCTCCACCACTCCTCCGCCCCACAATACCTCCTCCTCCTCCGCTGCCGCAGCAACCGCAACCGCCATGGCTGCAACAGCCAATGAGTGATCATCAGTCTCCTCTTCCTTCATCTCCTCTCTCTGTCTCTTCATATTAAGAAGTGTTAGTGGTGATGATGTGATTGGTTGTGATCTTTTTCCTTTTCCTTTCTTTTTATTTGGTTCTTACAATTGGTTGTGATCTTGTTGAAGAGAGAAGTCAATATATTTATAAGGCAGCGAAAGTAGTTAGTGCAAGGAGACATATGGGAGTTGGAGATAGAGAGAGACGTGAAGTATTGTTTTTAATTTGAATTGTTTTACCGACATTGGTTCTATGTATAACTCAGTTGCCTCACGTCACACTCACACATCTGTCTGCTTTCTTTTGCCCTACGTGTCCTACTTTATTTCTTTTCTTTTTCTCCCCACTCCATTGACTCCAAATATCCTCTGCAGTGTTTACAGTTTAAACCAAAATATCTAAAGATGTAAACAATGTTACCAGACAAAAAAATTAGACTAATTCATAAAATTTGGTGTAAATTATATCAAATTAAATGATCAACTGAGAATGGTTAGTAGAAGTAATCCGACTTTTGCACAAAGTATTAAGTGTAAAAACAATTAATTATGTGATAAGTTTTTCAAATGAAGAACTTCAAGTAGTAATTTCCAAGTGGGAAATTTTTGATGTTGAATTTTTTTGCTATATAGTGTGCTTCAAATTTGGAATATTTTCAAACACATACCCGTATGCAAGACGTTGTGGATTAGTCTTTTGGAATGCCTACAAATATAAATAAAAATAAAAATAAATAAAAAAAATAAAAAAAATTTGGAATGCATAATTTTTGGAATGCCCACGAATATAAATAAAAAGTAACAAATTTACGTAAAAAGTAATGAATTTTTTATTTTTGAAATATATGAAATATGTGGAATCAACAATACAGTAGAAAAAGAACTTAGTTACACAGTCTTACAGAAATGAGATTGACGTCAAAAAAAAAGTTATAGAAAAGAGATTAGTTAATTTAATATACTCTTTGATCATTCTTAAATATTTGTCGAAAATTTAAAACATCAAAAAGATCGCCACGTGAATCAAGAGGCAAGTCAGCGAATCATTCGACGTGAAACTCAATTTGATTAATTAATTAATTAATTATTTATTTATTTTAACGGCAGTATTAGTTTATTATACTCTCTCCGTTTCATAAAAAATATTATTCTAACATTTTTTAAACTTATTAAAAAAACTACTTTACCTTTTATAATGCATTAAATAACTTTTTCTCTAATTAATACATTAAATTAATAGGGTCAAAACTGGAATATTATTTAAAATTCTGCATTGAAAATATAAAACAGCACTTTTTATAAAACAAAAATAAAACCTTAAAACAACACTTTTTATAAAACGGAGGGAGTAAAAAAAATAGCATGCTGCATGCTAAGCTAGCTTTATTCATTTCTTAATTTATTTAAATTGTAAAGATAAAATATATAAAGTAGAGTTAATTAGCGTATATAGCAATCAAATTGAAAGAATTAGGTAACCGGTAATGAATTTTTATCATTTGCCATAAAAGAGAGAAATGTTTTATATTGTCTAAAATACCTTCTAATTATAATTTATATTGAAAACTTTTGAGAAACGATGGTATATCGTTGCAATAACGATGCAAACATTTTTTTCATTAAGAATACGTCATTTTATATAATTGTTAATTTGTTATTTCATTTTCAAATAATTTGACAATGTATGATACTTTGGATCTCATCTTAGTTTAGACGTGAAGCCTTTAACAAATTGTGTTAGAAATTGCACTAGTTCTCATAAACTATGGGACTATAGATGATTGATTTCGAATCCAATGATAATCTTCAGATTTTGAAGCTCAGTGTCGACTGTCGACGGCGTTTTCTGTTCGGTTGGATTTCAGCCACGTCGTCTTCTCTAAGAGATGGAACATATAGCATCACATAATGTGCCTACTTCTCACGCCATCTCCTCCTGTAGTTGTACATTTTATTATAAGCTAGATTTTAGTCGGCAAATTGTTTTAGCACATTATGTAAGTAACATGTTATAGTATCCAAGATTATCTGGTCCAAGCAAAGTATGTTTCTCTCTCACTTTTAGAACGTATTACTACGCCACATGATCGGGATCTCTAATACCGATATTAGGAGCAACCCTTTTTTACTTATTTTTATTATTTTGGTCGACAACCTTTATTAAGTCTACAACTAATATATAGATGTCCTAGATTTACCATCTCTGAGTAGTAAGTTTTATTTTCAATATATATATATATATATATCATTTTTTTAAAATATATATCACAAGATATTTGCAGCCGATATCATTTTTTTAAAAAACTCATTAATTTCTGTTTGATAAATGATGATTTATACCGTATCTTACTTATCTCTGTACCCTATACAAACATGCATATCATATTGTAGCAACATTGTTATAACAGTGAAAAAAGTACTACAGGTACAAATTTTAAATATAAAAGTATAAATAAATGACATCTAATGCAAAAATCCAAAAAAACCTAACTTAAGTAAATTACTTTAAGGGCACAGCTCAATTCTAAGTCGCATACTATTTATATGGTAATTTAGAAATATTAAAAAAATAATTATAAACGCCGACGAGAAATTTGTATATGTTATTTAAAAAAAGAAATTGCGTGTGTTTCGTTTTGATTTGAAAAAGAAGTCATGGTTTTCTAGTGGGGTAAAATATAAAACTTAAAAGGGGGTCGTGTTTTGCTAGTGCGAGTGTAACTACCCAAAATGGAATAGGTAAAAAATAAATTTCTAAAAAGGAAATGATAATGTGAAACAAGAAGACAAAAAATGTGTATATCACAATTAGGTAAGGGCCCCAAGGGGCAAGTTGAAATTGGTTTGGATCGGAAGCGGCAGATGGCAAGTGGACCAACTCTCCGTCTACCTTCATTTCCTTACTCTCTTAGTCATTATCACCATGCCACGTTTTTATTTTGCAGAAATGATTTAATTATAGAAAAAATTAGGCATGGCCGATAAAGATTTGAGTTGGACTGTTTTGAACTTTCATTTCAGTTTTAGATTATTTAATTAAGAGTTTTCACACAAAATTCAAAGTCAGAATAAAAAACCACAAACTTAAAGCCCAAAAAAAAAACTAAAACCAAAAACTATACATCTCCCATCCATTCTAATTTCTTAGTTGTATATTTTTTGAATTTTGAGAAAATTCAAAATATTTTACATTTTTATAAGAAATTCATATTATGTAAAATATTTGAAACCCAAACCACCTGGTGTAATCCAAAAATTATTGCCAAAATTTATGTGTATTAAAATTATAAATTGTCAATTATATAGTGTGACTGGCTTTTATAATCACAAGTTACTAAATATAGTTTTTTCGTTTATCAATCTTCAGATACATATGAATTTTGTCTGTAAAATTGGTCAATATGTTATTTTTGGATTTTTCCACTAAATTTTCCTTTACTTAAAAAAGACTGTCTAAATTCTTAGATTAACTATCTAGAGAAATAAAAAAATAAAAAGCAACACATACCCGAATTCTAGTCACATTCACCACATGTCGACAGTCATATTCAAAAATCCAATTAAATAACATGGTGTATTGCAAATTGCATGCATTAGAGATATTAAAGTCAAACATATTAAAGTCCCATATCACGTGAATTGGATCATGGATGCCGACTAAATATTTTATCGGCCTACAAGTTTATCATCGATCTCTAACATTATCCAAACATTAACCAAAGAAATACCATTTTCGAGCACCGCATATTAAAACGAATATCACCCTCCCGAGAAAAAAAAAAAACTTACGTAGAGAGAACGGTATCATCGTGAATACCTTTAACTTTTCCGCTTGAGATCATGTGAAAACCATTATCTTTCCTATTTTAACTCCTACCTCAAACCCAAAGCATATACATCTTAGCTCATGCTAAATTTCGTGTGTATGTTAAAAAATGAAAAACTTGATTTCGTTTTCCAAATCATCATCTCAATCTTATCTGTAGACACTAACTCGTTTCGAATGGCCTATAAGCAACGGTACCAAGCTTAAATGGGCCGTCGGATAAATCAGAGTCAGCAATTGATTGATTTGGAATCTCATTTGATGTTCTATATAAACTCTAGAGCCCATATACAAGAAACTGTAACTAGAACTCTTCATCTAGGAACCTATAGAAATGAATCATGATATGCCTACAAAAATTTCCTCTGGAATAAGACATGTTGGCCTCATGCTCTTGCTTTGTCAATTTTAAGCAGCAGAGCCTGACTTTGGATCTTAAATATACATCATGAACGAAATACAGCGTGAGAAAATACAAGTAGAGATGAAGCAATTGCAAAAAAAAAAAAAAAAGTTCTTCTCCATCAACTTACAATTTGTTAAACAATTACAAAGAATTTTCCTGAGTTTTTATAAATTTAAGATTAACAAATATTTAGCAACATGAAAATCAAAAATTAAATTTTGATTTATCGTGATTAATCAAAATTATATTTTCTGAATTGGAATTTTTTTAAAAAACTCTCCGATTGTTATTCTCCAATTGGAATTATTAATTTATGAAATGGTAGTCAAGCGATCTCTAACAACTATGGTCTGATTACTCTTACTTCTCGGTTTCATCTTCTCAACCAAGTGGGTCTGTGGGAATTTGGGCTCTCTCATTCGTTTGGTTCAAATTGATTGTACTAGCGGGTTTTACAAGAGTGGGTATTATTTTAACAAAAACTTGATATCCTCTTGGCTCTTTAAATAAAATGCATCAATCTTTAACCAAAAATAAATAAATCTCTAATGTTAGATAGTTTTATCTTCCCTTTTATCTTCATCAAACTAGTACTTTTATATTTAAAAAACCGTTAGTAGATAACTGATGAAATTCTGGTCGGGAGAATGTCAAATTTTACTGATGTAAATCTTTTTACTTTATAAAATTAGTTCAGCAAACATATTTTGAAATAATATATATATTATGATAGACTACTAATGAAATTTTGATAATAAAAATATATAAAATGAAAAATTCAAATTTCTTAAGACATTTTTAAAATTTATTCACAAAATGGAAAACTAAGATATTTCTATTTTCTTAATTTAGAAGAGGCGATTAAGAAAACAAAAACAGAAACTGTATAACGTTTTTCACAAATTTTGTAAGGGTGTTGGGTCTAAATTGTGATACTCTAAAACAATGGAGCTGGATTCGGATAATAAATTAAGAAGAAGTAGGAAGAAAGAGGGATACAATTGTCATGTGAGAAATGGGAGCACAATTTACGAAACTAAACAACTTCTCATTGCCCTTTCCCTTTGGTCAATTTTATCGGCGCCCCCACATGTTTTCGCTATTTACAATTTCCCAACCTTTTTTGTAGACAATTACTTCTCTATGTTCTCTTTAATTTTACTAAACAGCATGTCTTTTCTTTGTCAACTTTAACCAGAAACTATAATAAAATATGTTATTAATATAATATATTGACAAATAATAATAATATGGTATTAATGGTTCCAGATCAAATATATATGTAACGTTGATAGTAGGGATGAAATTATTATCCGGTATCCGGTATCTGATCCGGTATCTAGTCTTATCCGATCTGTAAAAACCGAATATCCGTATAGTTCGGATCCGGATCCGGATAGTGAAATTAAGTATTCGTTTATTTTGGATACGGATCCGGATAATAGAACATTTTAAAACCGGATATCCGTTATCCGTTTGTTAAATATTTAGTTATTTTTAGTAATATTTATTTATTTTTAAATGTTAATTTTAGAATTATTTTTGATTTAACTTTTTTACATATGATTAAAATTCATAGTGTGATAATTTTCTATTTTAGATTGTGAGACAAAAACATAAAAATGGATAGCATATAGACAGAAGATAAATCAACTTCTCTATTACTATTTTCTTCTTTTATTATGTAAATTTTTAAATTTTATACTATTTAAATGCTATTTGAATGTTACTTGAATGTTTTTTAATTTTTACTATTTGTAAGTTGCTATGATGATACATTTTAATTATCTATGTTATTTTATTATAGTTTTTAAAACTTAATTTTTTTTAAAAAAAGTAATGAAACTGGATATCCGACCGGATATCCGCAAATATTGGGTTCAAACCGGATATTCGGTCTCCGGATATCCAGAGTTTTTGGATCCGAATTCGGATAGTAAAACTGGTTATCCGGTGGATCCGAATCCGAATCCAGATACCTTGAAAAGTCCGGATATCCGGCTTCGTTTCAAGCCTAATTGATAGCTTTTTTTCACCTCGATCCCCTCACTTTTTTTTTCTTTCTATTTCGAATCCCTTCATTATTCTAATTACAAAAACAAGATGAAGCTCTGAAATCTTCGGATCTAGATCCAAATATAACGCCCGCATCTTTTGTTAATTATCAGATTTACTGGTTTTAAACTTTATTGTTAAGAAAAACTCTGTATGCACTCTGCGGGGTCCACTTACACTTAATCCGTTTTTATAAAATTCAGCTATTAAATCAATCAAGCTGTCATAGTAAAGTTTTAATGAGCATGAAAACATTGGTATAATGTTTCCCAGTATTTTGACATTCAGATCATAAGTTTCTTATCACAACGGTTGGTATGAACCGGAACAAAAAAAATATATTTGCGATTTCAGTTTGCATTATGATTTATACATATAATTTAATTCGTTTCTCTTTCTTTTTGGTGAGCAGAAAAACGTTTTTTTTAATAAATATCTATCTAAGCATGTTTATACTGGTAAGAAAAGATATGTAAAAGATTTTTTTAACTAAAGTAATTACTTTAAAAAATTGAAAAAAGGAGAGAAATAAAAAGAGATGGGTCAGCAAGTAACAGAGTGTCAGGCTTCACAGATCTGACGATATTCTTGTAACCAAAAGTGCAGAAAGATGCTGAGACCGCATGTTCGTTTCTTGTTTCTGCCTCTCCTTTTTCCCATTATTTTAATATATAAAAATTTATACCCAAAAAAACTTTATCTTATTACGAATATATTCACGCATTTACTTTTAACACCTTGCAGTTACGAATATATTACATTTTTTGTTATATATAATAATGTAACCAAAACTTTATCTTGTTACATTATTATTTTAAATAATTGAATCTGTTTTTTTTATTTAATAACTCAACCTTACAAGTTACAACAACTCCTTTAGAAAATTGAATGAGTCTTTTAATCTAGTTGCACATTCCTCCACGTTCCTTAATTGTATTACAGGAACAAAACCCGACAAATATTACTCACTGTTTTTTTACTTCCCTTTCAAGAAACAGTAAAAATATATTTTTCTCTTGAGGAAAGATTTTATACGAAAAGTAATAATTGGACTAACCAGATATTTTGAAGGAGCCTCCAACGTTACTATAACACATGGCAATTCATAGTTCACAGCTTTTTACTCATTGCATCATCTCTTCTTTTTACTTTTCTCAAAATCCACATATTCTCAAAAGCAAGAAGTAATAAGAAGATTCGCTTTCATTTCAAAGTAAATTATCATTTGAATTTCTTTCCTTTTGTACAAATTTTGTTTTCTCATCTTCGTAACCAACTCTCAGGAAAAAAAACCTAAAACGAAAAATATCCAAAATACCCTTCTTTTCTATCTCCATCTCTCTTTACACATAGAAGAAAAACCTGAACCTTCCAAATATAACCTAAACCTTTTTATTTTCCCTTAACTCAACAACTCATTTTTCACAAAACACTACACATACTTTAAACCCAGAAAATTGCTCGATCACCTATTTACACTCTTAATTAAGAAAAAAAGAAAAAAAAACCAAACTCCAAAGGATCGATCTCTCGTGCTCTTACTCCTCTTAAAAGCCTCAAAGATTGCCCCACACAAAATCTCTATTCTCCTCAACAACACTTTTTTTATGTACTTAATTTGGTTTCTGTGAAGTTTATTCAATAGAGAATATATGTGGAGTGTTTTGGTGGTCTCCTAAGCCAAGGCAGGGATGCTGCAGTTTCTACTGTCCCTGTCAAGGCAATCAAACCCTTCGATCCTAACCGCTGGGCTGTTACCAAAATTGCCCCTGACGCAACCAACTTTCCTCCCTGAGGAAGATGGAGACGACGGAGGTAAGCCCAGCGGAGCCGAGATCATCGGTGAAGAAGAAGAAGAAGAAGAAGAAGAAGAGATCTCATCTCTGAATCGAGCATCCTGTGTTAATGGGTTAGCGACTCTGCTCGGCGGCGACCCACATAAAAACGGGGACGGCGAGTCTAATACCTGCGTCGTATGAACTTGTTCTGAACCATAACCATCCTGTCACAAAACCACAACAATCAATCATCAGTTTCCACAAATCTTGAATCTATTATAGAATATACAGTTATGATGACGCGTGAGTGATTACTAAATCATGTTGTTGGCTGAATGGTTTCAAGAAAAGACGCATCTTTTTAATCATAAAGGTCAGAAAAATGGCCCACTTATGTGCTGTATCGATTTAACTCGAGACGTCTTATTCCAAAGTTTTTAATAATAATGTTTCGACAAAGTCTCAAAACACAACAAAGTTCACATGTTTTTTAATCAAGAATCGTACACGGATTACTCTCCTTATTAGTGTCATTTAAAAAAAAGAAAATAATTCTAGAAACCGACTTCCTACTGATTTTATTGGTGTATTGATTTGAGATCTACCAAGACGTAACCAGTTTTGATAAACAAATTTCACCTACCAAGAACACCTAATTTTGAACAAGAAGAAACAACAAAAAATACCTTGGTCAGTATGATATCTAAGATATCAGTCTCTGCCTTGGATTCACTTAGCTCCACTTGGTGGCTGGAAAAACAATCACGATTGCATAAAAACTTTAGTCCAAAATCATTAAAACGAGAAATTTTTAAAACTATGAAAATTTGAAGCAAAAAGATGTTTAACCTGAAGTAACAACGCAGAGACCGAGAGGGATGGTGTTGTTCGTAGACAGAAGGGTTACGGAGACCAATACGACGTGGTTTTGGGCAAACAACAACAGTCTGATCTCTTTCCACCACCGAAACGGAGCTTCTCAAATCTCCTCCGGCGGCGAAAGCGTTTGGTTGGACAGCCCAGTGATTCATCGTTTTCTTTCGAGCCAAAAAAAAAATTAAACGAAAATTTTTTTCACCTGTTTCACAAATTTGATTGCATAAACGGATTAGTCTATTATATTAGTTATACATCGGAGAACCAAAAAAAACAGTCAGATCTGAGTAATTAAGATCTCGTTTGAGAAAATATCTTCCTAATTTAATGAAGAAGCGTTAATCAAATGAAGGAGAACAAATTGGAATCAGTGTTTAGGAAACAGATCCATCAATTTTGTGGAGATAGAGCTGAATAAGTAATCGATTCTCGAGAATCAGGAGACTAAATTCGAAGCGCAATTAACAGATCTAATTGCAGAAACAGGATCTATAAATGAATCGGAAACAGAATCGCCGATCTACGAAAATGACAAAATTCATAGAAGAATCCGGCAGTGAACAGAGAGAACAGAGCGAGAGAGAGAAGGTTACCTTAAGTTTAACTGTACAGCAAAGGAGGAGCTATGGCGATAAGCGCGAGAACATAGATTGATTACAGAGAAGAAGAAGAAGAAAAATTAAACTGAGAGAGCAAAAAAGAAAAAAAAATTGGGTAGAGAAAGGATGTGAAAGGCGTGAAAGTGTGTGGTAGTGTTATTAGGCGAGAGAAGAAGAGAGAGACGGGCCATGGAGCGGTCCCTTTGTTCAATTTATAGGGCCATACAAAACCATTTGAGAAATCCAATCAGGCATTTTGGAGTATTATTTTCAATTTCCCATTTTTTATTCCCCTCCGATGATATAATATATTATTTTAAATAAATATCAACCCAAAAAAATATACGATTAGGTCCTTGGCCGCAAGGGGGTCCTAGGTCTTGATATGCCTTGAGATTGAGAGAAGAAAAAAATCTATATTCGTTTTTTATTCTGAGTTATGTTTAAAATAGAAAGAATATATTATGATTACATTAACGAGGTCCAGTTTAGGATTTATTCAGATTTTTTTCTCCTTAGATTTCAAATGGTTTTGGACTTCGTAGTTGTACTGTTGTAGGTAATGTGATGGACTCCTAATTTATTTACGGACAAGATGTGTTTTTTATTCATTATTTATAATTTTTTGGGTCAGACCTCTTGGTTTCTCTAAAAGTAGAAAAGGTGATTTACATATATGAATGACTACAGCCATAATTTGCAACTAGGATTGGTAAAACCGTAAATAATTTGTTGACAAAAAAACGTAAATAATTGGCATTTTATGTTTGTACGTGATTTTTAAATAAGTAACATAATATAATATCATGTAGATAGCATTTCATCGCATAAAAAACATACCATTTATACAAAAAACAATATGAAAAAAATAAATGCTAAATTAAAATCACAATTGTAATATAATAAAAACTTATATTAGTTTCTTTATCCATCATTAGATTATAAAGTTTCAAGTGAACTAAATAAGCATTTCAGTTAATTTACATATATTTTTCCAATTACATATATAGTTAAACTTATTTTTTCTTATTTACTGAATTTGGAAAGAATCTTTCGCTCTATCATAACAACTATCGATCATGCCATAAAAAATGGTCTAATCGTTTTTTTCGTAAGAAAACCCGATTGCCTCTTTTTCTCTCTAATTGAATTTTATGTTGGTTGTTTTCAAATCCATTGTAATTATCATTATTGAATTTTAATTTTATCTATCCTCTTAAGAGATCTAATATATTAGTTTAGGTTGTAATAATTTTTGGTACAAAAAATTAACAAAAAAATTAAAATTAAAACCAAAACAAAAATTTAACGATCTTTAGACTAACGTGAGAGAGTGTTTACCCTAATTTTTTAGAAACTTACAATTGTTTTTTATTCATAGTTTGTTACTTGTGAAGTCCATGATTTTATCATAGGTCCATATTTTGCTATAAGTTCTTGATTCAGAATCAAGATAGAAGTCCATGAATTTATGCTGATTTGACATTCATTTGATTCTTAAGCAGTATTTAATCACGTGACTGACAAAATTATCTTTAGCCTTTTTCGGAAATTAGGGAATCAACTCTTACATCTCTCAAAATTACTTTAAATTATCAAATTCTAACACAATGTCAGCATTTATAATAGGTATGATTGATAACATATTATAACACAAGGGGTTAACGCTAACATGATTCTCAATCACAAAATAATTTTTAAAATTAATACTATTGAAGACGATATCACCAATTTATTTGTTTACCCTTATTTTCTCACTGTATTCTTCACTTCTTCTAGCTATTTTGCTATCGTTCATTACTATTTTTTATTCATACAAAACTTATATCGTCTTTTATCATCTGAAAAAACATATTTCAGCTCTATCGTCAGAAGCTACGTGTCATTCGACTACTCTCAATCAAACAAATCATACTCATAAACTACCGCAGTCTTGGCAAACAATAAAAAAATATTGGCATGTGAATACACTTAGAAAGTAAGTATTTAAATAAAACTACAGATCTTGTGTAAGAATGAATAACATTAAATTACTAATCAATAGTTCCCACTATCTTTACATTTCCAATCAATTTTAGGTCCTACCACTAAAACCAATAAAACTATTGCAAAAATAAATAAATATCAAAGTTTATTGTTATTTATTAAATATAAGATGATGATGAACGATGGATGGAAGGAAGGGACGGAGTGTGGGAGGCATATAACAGTAGATCTTAAACCTTATTATTATTTTATTATTTTGCTGTCTCATAAACTAATAATACATGTTATTTATTTTATTATATAGTTTACTCTAACATAATTATTTCAGTTTGTTATCATCTACCCACGTTAGCGGTCCCCTTGCTCCCGTGAGAAATCTCATCGGTATAAGCGATCTTCTCGAAATATTATTGTAATAAAAAATTTAATGTTCTTTTTTTTTTTAATCACGACTCTAGTTTCTACAAAATATCTACTGGCGAAAAGAAGATAAAATATCGGCTTCACCGCCTCAAACGCGAAAATGCCTTGCTTCAGTTACACGCGAGTTGGTCAAACTACTCGCTTTGAGATAAGACACGTGTACGGTAGATAAAGCTTGTTTGGAACTTGGTTCCATGATTAATCATTTGTATCGTGAGTGTTGGTTTAGCGTTTTGGCCATCCACGTTTAGAAGTTACCGTTAATACTTTTTTTTTTTTTTGGTAAAGCCCGTTAATACTTTTACATACTGATAAAGTGATTGCTGTTGAAATGTTTTTACATGTGATATCGACAAGAACAATCTGTCTTTATTTCGTTGAAATTTTCTTCAAAAATTCTTTATTTTTTTTATTTTCGTGAAGTTTTATTTTAATTGATCGGAGACAAGTTTGCAAATAACCAAACTATATTTCTCAACCAACATATCAACATTCTTCATAATTTACTAATTATAAGTTTTTATGAGTTTGCTGTTTTTAAGGCCAAGAGTTCAATCACTCAATTACATATACGTGTCTTATAAAAAAACAATAATCAGATAAATATGATTATAATTAATCACAATATTTGAAGACTTTTATAGAAATAGAAACATTATTATAAGTTTGTTGTATTTTGGGAAAGTGCGACTTTTTGCATTTGTTTATGTTTATATGCGTACAATTCTTTTTTTAGTCCACGAAGACCTTATTAACTCTGAAAATACTACTATAAGAAAACTGTCTAAACCTTCGGAAACTTATATATAAATATTTATCGATAGATATTTTGGTAAAGTTATGCAATTTTTTCATTCATCTTAATTACGGATTTGCCGTTTAAATATCAACCTGAACTCTTACTAGATATATAAATTTGTGATTATTTGCCTAATTCATTTATCAATAAAAATATAGTCTTACTGCCCGATCCTCATATGACGCGGCTCTTATCAACTGTACTGTGTACCTATTAATGACCAACCAGTTGTTATTTTGAACAAAGAAAATTAAAACTATAAAATGGTTATAACTCTTTTTATTATATTTTGTAATGAATATCGTCAGCGTATATTGCCTTTGATTTAATGGGTCCCCTTAGTATCACACCTCCACTTGATGAGCATATCGACTTTCATAAATACCTCCAATTTGGCTGCCCGTACATATACTTTTGTCCCCTCTCCCTTTTAAATAATAAATTGCTTAAAAATAATAGTAAATCAGATATGATTTTTTCTCCTGTCAGCCCAGTGGGCTTGTATGCCCATTTGAGTTTCTCACTTTTCCATCTTATGAAGTTATATCATTTTTTTGGTGTCTTAAACGAGAGATAAATCATAAAATAGAGAATTTCACTTGATTTTCTATAAGATTCCTAAGATCGTTTTGAGTGTTTCTTGTAGCAATAATTTCTTTTACGCATATATTTGTCTAAATACTTCCTCAAATTTGAAAAAAAAAAAATGCTTGCTGCAAAACCAAAATTGGGCTTTTACTTGAGATTGATGTAGCCCATTAACTGAAACGGGCTTAGCACTAGTTTATATTTTCTTGCACAGATCCAACCGATCAACAGGATTATTGCTTTAGTTTTTATTTTATGTTTCATTGCGTTTCTAAAATTCTATTGTGTGCATTCAATACATTGGGATAACATTAGTTTTTCTTTTTGTTGACAGTAAGCAGGTTCAAGAGGCCGAGTTTATTTGGAAAGATTAGAAAGTTGTTGAATTAGCTCAGTGGTTAATAATATATGATTGAGAAGTGAGTGCCATATTTGCAATTTAAGGAAACTCGAGGGGAAAATGAAAAAAGAAAGAAAGTTTTGTTATTGAGTTTGTTTAAGCTTTCATATATTTGTATCTTTTTGTTCTAACTTTTCTATTACCTCCCCGAGTATTTCTTGGAATTGAAGAGAAAAAGCTAATTGATTGCTTAATCTCCAGGGAAAGTGTACATACAATAGCATCAAAGATCTTAAAGAACTAAAAAATGTGTTTATGTGCTATGTTATTTTCGAACCATTCGTGAGTGACCATGACATGTATTCGCAATTCTTTTCCAGCAAGTCTCGGTAGTTTCTCAACAAGTTGTATCCTCTACAAATACGCTAGAAACTTATCTCTTCTTTACATGTTTTAGAGAATTATATTAGTTAAATATTTGATGAATATTCGTATAGAAAGATCTAGATATTTATAAGACAAAGATCTGGATATCAAGGTAAATGTTTTAGAAATTAGGATAAGAACATCTAAGATCTTTGTAGTTCGGAAGGCTGTCACTTACTCTTCATCCTTTCATGTGTACAACTAAGCAAAATAAGTATAATCAAAGCAATTCAAGAGAAATAATTAACAAAGTGCTCTATATTCATAAGTTATTTGATTATCTCTTAAATTTCATTTTTAAACATTTACCTCTCTAAAGTTCTGCAAGTGTTTTTACATCATGTATTCGATTATTATATTGTTCTTTTCGTTGTGCGGTGTACAATTCATTCGCGCACGCTAGCTACCAGATATAATACAAGTTATATGATAGGGACGAGAAGAACCAATCGATCATTATGCTGCTACTATTATGGAGTGTCGATATTGAATTTTGTGTAACTTTCATTTCATTTCTACCGTTAAAAGATATATCAAAATTGGTGTATAAAAATTAAAAAAGAAGAAAGAAAATGTAAAAAGAAAAAAAAAGTGAAAAAGAAAAAGAAAGGGGAAGGACCACGTAAGGGGAAAGGAGTAAAAAGTATGATTGTCCGAAAGAGAGTTGCAGATGTTACATGAAGAGGGAGAGATTGCAAGTCCTAGCTTACTAGCCGTGACAGTCTTCGAGTAGTAGTGTGGTCCTTCTCTCACCTGATCCCTCTCTCTCTCTCTCTCTCTCTCGATCCTCATCACTTACTCACTCTGCCTTTTTTCTTTTATATTTTGTTTTGTTGTTACCATTCATAAATTAAGTACTATGCAAATTCTCAAGATCTTTCGTGCCCCATCCTTAACACTTTAATTAATCACTCCCTGGCTCGAATTTGTACTCTTTATATTCATATATATTTATACTGATTGTACATTTTCTTAAACTCGAGGGATCACAAACCATAATCAAGTTTAATTCCCTAGGTTGATAAAAATCCGTATATTTTTGTTATTAAAAACACTTACATTTTTCAATCACGATTGAAATCACAATGAAAACCAGTTTTATAATGATGTATTCAACTATTACACCACTATATATATATAGGTTCAGTTTTTGTTGTTGGCATTAAACATTTGTCGACAACCAAAATTCTTATTATGTAAAGGGGGCACCAAAATGTGAATACAACAGATTTAGAGAAGAAAAAAAGTTATTATTATGGTTACATTATGCATACTTGCATAAACCATGGATATATATCTATCCCATGAATAATGCAAAATTAAGTAGAAAAAAAAAAGTAGAAACAAGTTTTTTCTTTTTCTTTTTAGAACCAGTTTCCACAGTAATTGTGCCAAACCGGCCAAAAGATGGCGACTAAATTGCCAAAATCACGACAAAGAAAAGATATTGGTAGCTAGTGTCGACTATGATTGGGCTTCGCATTGGTTTTGATTTGATGAACTCGAGATTATCAAAATCTCCGTCCCGTCAACATTCATACTGCTTATTTACTAGATAAACATTACGCCGTGAAATAACGGTGTTAGGCTTGACTTTTTTTTTTTTTTTTTTTTGACAACAGGTGTTAGGCTTGACTTTTTGGACATATATATATATATATATAATTCTTTTTCTTTCATGTAGGTCGGCACGAGCATACGTTTCTCGAGTTTTTTCTTTCTTGAAGTTTTGACCTTTAAAGAGCCACTTGACACGTGACTCGCACGCTTCCGTGACTGTGAAAACATGAATACGCTTAGGTTTATTCTTCTCACCAGTGGACTTACAAGTTACAAGTAGAGAAAAAACGTAACACTAGTTTACTTTAGTTCTTCAGTTAGTTTTGTGGATGGAGTTTTACATAGCATCAAGTTTTTTTGTTTTCTTCAATCTTCATAAGTGTATAGAAAGCATTTCCATGCAGACCAGATCTATAAATCACACCCGTAAAGGAACCAAAGTCCTTGTAAATTTTGTAAGCAAATTTGGTTTGAACTCCATTTGTATAGCAATGATAATTATTTATAGTCTCCTTGAAGCATTTTCCTCCTCATCTAAAAAATTTCCCTTCAATATTGCTTTCTATAACATTCAGTTCTATCTATTTTAATTAAAACAGATATCCCTAGTAAAGACTCATCTTATATTGAATGAAAGTTATGAAAGTTGTTATAGATCTGTAAGATATGTCGTCTACTATATCGTTTGGTGTGGAAAGGACCTTGATAGCATTATAATGTTTTAATTTGTATAATCAACAACAAGATTAAGCAGTTAATTTGGGGAATAAAAAACTCATGGAGAGTTAAGGATAATAGAAGACATGCATATCCAAGTTAGATCACAAAAGAGCCTAATAATTAGTTATGTGATAGCAACACTTGCATGTCCCATTTGCAAAACCCTAGGGTACAAAAAAACAATTTGAAAGAAAATTATATTTTGATGTGGATGCCCCAGGAGAGGCCTATTGCCATTACATTACATCTATAAATGGGGGACCATTACTAGCTAACAATTTTTCTTACATTTATATACAAATATTTATTGTAAAACTTCTCAAAACGTATTGTTCAAAGCAGCAGGACCATAGAACTAGCCATGTCTCGGATTGTCCTTAAAAGTATAAAATCTATTCTCTTTTAGTTACTTGTTCTTTCCTCTGTGTGTTTAAGTGAGGATCACAAGTCCATCAAGGACCATCTTGAAGTTGCAAACTATTCATGAAAGATTCTTTATCTAGAGACAATGATTCGCTAGATGTGTCTTTCTACATTTAATTCATTGTTGAGAAAGTACTACAATTGTTTCTTTTAAGACGCTCTATATTATATTAAACCTAATTAAATACAACGTTTTATCACCAGTGAACTTACACTTTAACGTCTCATTTTCATAATGTGTGCGATTTGGAGGTTTATTAAATCATGAGAACAAGTTATAGACTAACTCTTTTTTTTTTCAGATTCTCTCAAGACTCATGATAAGATATCAGAAAATAATACAATAATTTTCTTTGATGATAGTAACAGCTTGGTTACTAATGTCGTTAAAAAAAAAACTAATGTTACCATTGGGAATAATTTCAGGTTGATCGAAAGGCGATTTATGTAGTTTATTTTGATTTTCACCATGAAGATATATACACAGAAAAGGTCCAAAAACTCATTAATTTCTTAAAAATAGTTCTTAAAATATTAAGTATTTGTCTTTTTTAACATGAATTAATTGCAGAGTAATAGGGTTCTAGGCTAGTAGCCCTAGCATCTCCTTTCACTCAGGAAATGTCCCTCTCATCTCTCTCTTTCATCACACAAACACACACACACACAAACACAAACCACAAACACAAACACAAACACTTTCTCTCTGGTTTAATTAAAACCCCTTAAGCCCACACTACCTCTATCTTTTTAAGGTCACGAGACCCACTTTGCTTATTTAGTTTCCACACGCAGAGAGAGAAGAGAGAGATGGGAGGGTTTGTGGCAGATAAACTGATAGAAAACTTTCGAGCCTCTCTTCTTTAACTTTTACTACTCTCTACGTTTTTCTCTTCCTTTATTTTGTGGTGCAGCCTCCAACTGAAAGTCCTCTATAATATATATTCTCAATTATTATAGCTCTTCGAGAGAAGTCTTATCTCAAGCCAATCTCTCATTTCCCACTATGTATATGCCCCACAATACACAACACCAATTTCTTAATTATATCTTCCAATTTTCTAATCTTATTTTTAATTGAAATTTTGGCAGGAGGCATGAGGAGAATTACTTAGACCTCAACAATCTGCCAGATGATATTTCTAGAGATGCCAATAAGCAAGCCCTCGAGGAAGGCTCTTCCTCTGGTATGCATATCTAAAAACCCTAAATACTTTAACGATATACAAATATATTAAAAATGGAGACATACACTTATAGTCGGAAAATTGAATTTTAAACGTTATCTATTTATATTATTAGTGCCTATAATGGTAATTAAGGTTTGGATTATTTTTTGGTGAACTTGTTTAATGTGTGGGGTTTTGGTTGGTAATTAGGTCAAAGAAAGAAGAAAGGAAGTAAAGAAGGGAAAGATGAGAGCGGGAAGGTTTACGAATGTCGATTTTGTTCACTCAAGTTCTGCAAATCCCAAGCTCTTGGTGGCCATATGAATCGCCACCGACAAGGCATGTTTACTTAAACTTTCATATAATCCACCTTTCATATTCACACTTTTTAGTTCGTGCAAATAAAACCCAACTTTCAAAAAAATTGTCTTTGGTAAATGATTAATGTCACATCCATACTTTGACTATACAACGTTATAACTTATAACAATATAGAAAGTAGCTGATTTGCATTTAAGACTTAGTTTAATGTCCTTTTTTTTCTTTTTTTTGGTTCTATAAACTTAAAGAGAGGGAGACCGAGACATTGAATCAAGCTCGTCAATTGGTCTACCGTAACGACACCTTAACCCCACCTGGAATTACGCCATTTGGGTACTCTTTCTTCCAAAATTATAAAACAAAAATGTTACTAAATGTGATTATATAATGATCATCATATAAATGATGTGATTATATTTGGAATTATTTGGCAGTTATCATCATACCACGGATCCAACAATGTACCGGTCGGTTTACTCATCACCAATGCTATATACCGGAAACCCCTCGGCAAACTTGGTTCCCCAACCGCTTCAACCGCCATATCCATACACTTCAAACCAATACTCTCCTCACAGTCACATCAACGATTACTACTTAAGCCAATCTTTTCGAGGCAGTAGAAGCATCTCTCCAAACCCTAATCTCCCCACCACCACAACCGTTAATTACATGGCCGATGGTCCCGTGGAGTCGAGCTACACTTGCGTTGGTGCACCCATTGATCAGACAGGTTTTCCTAGCCGTGGCTCTGCCAGCAGCATCCGTGCGGCTCCGCCGCTCGAACCGCCACATGGTCGTCGTGATGGCGACGGTTCAAGGCAGCCTTTGGATCACTCTCTTCGAGTACCCATTAACCGGTTTCAAGATCACCACTCGCTCTGAGTTTTAATATATTTCCTCAGCTTTTCTTTTATCTTCTTGTAATAATTCAGTTGGATCTTGAATTGTCTAAACGCGCATGGATCCTACATGTGTTATTACAAAATGGCCCGTCTGTTGTCTTTTTTGTTGTTCTTGTCGAATTTTAGTTGAAATAATTAATTATTAGGATCTAATGAATCTTGACCCAATTTGTTTTATGTGTTTTATTTATTAAAAATATTTTTAACATTATGATTTCATTGATTTGTCTTGTGCTCGATTTTAGTGCGGAGTAAATAAATTATCGTACTGAGTCGCAGATGCCAAATGATGTTGAATCAACTCATTTAAGAGTAAAGTTAACAAGTTAGAAACTAAAAGGGACCATCATGGAGGTGTGTACTATTGGATATAAATTAAAAGGTGAACGTTTAACAAAGTTTCTATTTATGGATACACAAGGGAAGTGATTAATCTAAGGAAAAAATAAAGCTTTTGCAATATATATTATATATTTGAACAACGAGAGGACAGAGGAACCGGACAAATGAGTCAGAGAGAGATAGGGAAAGAGATATTGTGTTCATAGTATATGATACAATGTGTAGTGAGATTGGAACAGCCTTTATCTGAGCTCATCTACAACTCTCAGCTACTTTGGCCTGAAGCTAGCTTAGCTATATGTGGATTGGGGATTGGAGGGAATTGGTTTGTGGGTTTTGGTGGTTGGTTTGTTCAAAATCAAAGATTAAAAAGGATGTTTCAAATATATATAACATTTTATTGTATATAATGTTATAAAAGTGTAGGCAGGAAGTAACTAGATCCAGATGGAGACCGTTAGATGCCAGCTGAATTCCCCTAACTAGTAAAACTTCCCCTTCGCATATTCTGCTGCAGTCTAGTTTCTATCAACTACTACTTCCATTTTCTTTTCTTATTCTTTTTAAAATAAATATATATTTCTTTTTCTTTGTTAAAAAATAAGTTTCGTTACAACAGTAATTATTTCTATATGAAACCTACTAAAAAACATCTAAAGTTAGATTGGAAAACAAATGCTATAAAAGTTCTTTAAAAGGTATGGAAAATTCCTATCACTCAACCAATTATGCACAATATATGAAATGGTGATGAGAAAAGATTATTAGGTTATTAACAAAATTATTACTTTTAATTATACCGGTTGAGTCTAACTGGTCAATGTCACTAAACAAATATTTTATGGTTCGAAACTAACTTTGTAAAATTACTTATATGCAAAGTTTTTACGAATTATTATTATTATTATTTTTGTAAAGCAATTGACAAAATGAAGGGACCTTTTGCAAACACTGAAGGAATCAGATACAGGCGATAGTAAAGTATGAGCAAACTGTATAACAAAAGAAATAAATGTTGGACAACACAATGATATATAGTGTACCTGGCCTCGTTTATTATTATTTTGTGAAGAAAATCTTTTAATTAAATTATTTCCTTTGGATGATGATAAAGAAATAAAGAAAAAGTGATGATTTCTAGAAGTTACATGAATTAATTAATAAGAAAATGCGTACATTGAGACATTTTATACGGGGTCAGGGGGCTATATGCTTACACTGGAGAGGCAATGGCCTCGAGCATATCTATCGCTTCTTCTTATTTATTCTGACCAGTTACAGCTACATTATAACAACGTACACAGAAAATTATACACATATATATATATATATATATACATTATAACAACGTACACAGAAAATTATACACATATATATATATATATATATATATATAGAGAGAGAGAGAGAGAGAGAGGTTAAATAGGCGAATATCTCTAACTTGATCTGCCCAGCAAAAATTGGGTCAAGCCTCGATATAACATGTTTCATTGGTTTTGTGATGTCATATGGGTTAGCTAGCAATTTTAAAGTGTACGGACGCCTATTTGAAGAAGCATAAATATGTAAGTAATGGAAACAACAGGGATGGGTCTCTACGTACGAAGTAATATGTTTGATGCGTACGAATCACTCTCTGTCTACGTACTGTATATGTGGTATACAATGATACACATATCGAAATTAATTACTTAAGTGAATATGTATACTACGTGTACGTACTATATAAGTAAAATCTTTTAATATGGTGATTATATATTGTAACATAGTTCGCCATGTGAAATAAAATCATACAGTCTCGGGTGGTTTATGAATTAGGATCAGGTGCAAAACGTGCAAAATCATCTAATGATATATGTATAAGAGTAGACTAGTGTTACCGTGCTCAATTTCTATTGGTTTGGGTCAAACTGAATACTTGAAGAATAACATAATTTGATTGATTCTTTCTTCTTCTTCTTTACATTCCTATTTTTTAGTGAAGTCCGTAACATTGACAAATTCGATTTATGTTTTGCATTTTTTTTTTCATATTTAATGATTTCAAGGTGTTATCCAATATGTTAGGACCAATTGATTTTTTTTTTTTTCTCATTGATTCCGTTTCCCTATGACTTGAGATGATAAAAGCAACAAAACTGAATATGACTTGAGATGGAAGGTATCACATTAATCAGCCCCCAAATTTTAAATATTTGTCTCGCTATATATAGTTAACCCAAACCGGTCTATCAGTAGCCCGACCTGATTGGACATTTTTCTTATGTAGCTTCGGCCGATCCTACTTATGAATTTATTTTATTATTATATCACCCCTTTGTTTAATTCGTGATTTTATTCTCTCCGGTGATGTCAACTCCAAAGTATGTTGGTGTTGACCAAAGAATATTAAATAAAAAAAATGTTGGACGAAAGAGCTGTGAATAATTCCATGGCAGTGCCGTATAACAAGGCAGCTATTACACTTTTAGGCTGTCATGTTGAAATGCATGAGACTTTGAGTGCATATTGAAATATAAGATTTGGAATCAATATATAATATACTATGCTATAACCTTATTTCCACATTTTTTTTGTAACAAGGGTTATTTCCACACTTATACTGTCATATCTTCACTATATTCTGATCACCCCACAAAATTTGTTTTTAGCAACTTAATTGGCCAATCTCAAGACACGATCTATAATACGCTGTTATATCAATAAGTTGGATCATATATAGTTTCCTAATACAAAGTATTCTCATGGATTAGCCGTTTGTAAAAAAAAACGGTATGTTTAGTTTTTTCTTATATTCTTTTAGAACTTACAATTCTTACTATAAGTAAAATGAAAACGGTGATTACCCTTACAAAAAAATGAACAAATAGGTGTGATAATAAAATAAAAATATTTCAATGAAAAAGAAGAAAATAGAGAAAGCTAAAAACTGGAAGCACGAACGTAAGATGTGAACAAGTCACGGTTAAGACAAAGAAAAAGAGAGAGAGAGAGAGAGAAAGAGAGAGCAATGTAAAGACAACTTTAACTAATTACAAATATTTCGCATCGCTAAAGCCAAAAGGCACACACGCAGAGACAGATCCGTCAAGCAAAAACGTTTTCGTCCCGTACCTTTCTTCCGATTTATCTCGGGATTCTACGTCCGTTATCCACCACATGTACATGTATAAGTAAATATATACGTAAATATATAATACGTATAGATAAATACATATATGCAATATGTATAGAAGTAGGTATGATTTGTGCCTAGTGATAGGCTCAGAACTACACTAAAAATGTTGCAGCTAACTGTTAAATAGCAATCAATCTACACTGCCATCGATTCACAGCACTCTGGACCGTCGTGCAGTCCAAGAAACAGAAGAATGTTTAAAGTTGCTGCTGCCTTAATGTTTGTTTTTCTCATTTGCATTTACATTTAAATTACATGCATGTTATTTTCTCTCTTATTTCTATGGTGTAATTAATTATGATAGTCTCTTATTGGAAAATTGTTTATAAGTACATATATAGTCACGTGGGACTTCATCTTAACTTGTAGTTCTAGTGGATGATGGTATCATATATATAATGTAGTATTCATATATATTTTTGAGTTAAAGTTTGAAGTTAAAAAGATCGAGTTGTTGTTATCATTCTGAGTAAAAATATTTATTGATGTAACTCAAGATTTTGTATCTTTCTGCTTCTACTGAAGCTAGGACTAGAAGTCTAGTAGGAGCTAGGTTATGCGTATAGATATATACACCCTTATCAAACCGTACAATAATCTTCGTTTTTTTTCTTCTTAACTCAAGTACAATATCACTTATAATTATATACGTGATTTTATGTTATTACCAATAGCTATATAAGAAACAATGATGAAAAATAATGTAAATAACAGTGAGGTACGTCGTAGATATTATTATCAGTCGCAGCAACATTTTATGTTATTTACCTATACCTATGAATGATATGAAAATAGGAAAGAAGAGATTTTCCTTTTTGATATATAAAAAATCTGAAACAGTTATTATAATAGACCTATAAGGCTATGGTAGCCTTGCCGCATGCAACCATGCTACTCTATTCCCCTTTTACCCAATCAAAAAAAAAACCAATGCTAGTTTGTTTACTACTATTAATTAGCCTCATTGTTTTTTATTCCCTCTCATTTGTCTTCTTCTGAAACACACGGAAGAAGTCTCATAAAACAACTTCCTCCATATATATGTATAGCCATACCATAATAGATGAAAAGGAAGTAAAAACTTTATGTATTCGAGTTTTACTTGCATCAGAAATTAAATTAAACAGTTTTAATTGTCTTGGTTGTTCAAAGTCTACCAAATAAGGTATTATCAATATAATTTAATAGGCTAGTGATGCAAAATCACAAGACTCAATCTTGTTTAATAATACCTACCAAATGAAATATACTCAAACCCATTATTTTTAAGTATTAATATTGTCGTATGTATACATTGACAGTATATAATGCCTCAAATTATAGTCTCCACGCATAGGGTTTAAAATTTTCATTACGTTTATATATGAACGAATATAAAATTTTTAATAAATTTTAAACCACATATGTATGTATCTAAATATTCATAAATCATACCTTATTGTTAAATTAAAATATTGCTGGGAGTTTTTTTTTT